CCCTCCCCTTATTAACGTATCCTCCTTTTAGATTTTAATCCAGGCGTGCAAAACGAAGAGGTCGCACTTTTGCAGATTCGGTAAACTCCAGAGGAGTGAAATGCCTAACCTATTTCTCCATCCTAAGCGGCACTTGCAACAACAAAAACATGTCTGAGATACGAAAACATTTTGATCTTTTCTGTGAGCTCACATCCATTCGCGGCTTGCAGCGCATCAAGAAGGCGCCCACCTTCTTTGGTCGTGTAATCTGGTCTGCCTTCGTCATCGCCATGACCCTTTCCCTCTTCATAACAATTGGTTTCCTGGCACGTGATTTTCTCAGCTACAACACAGCCTGGCATGCTCGGACCATCATCGGCGATAAAACCAACTTCCCTGCAATTACCGTCTGTGCACACAATCCCTTCTCCCTGGAAGCCAACATGATTTGGAAACAAAACGACATCCTCACACCAACGGGATTTAATAAACGGCTCAGTGAGATAACGCTAGAGTTCATCAAACACGACAAGCTCGAGTATGCCAGTGTAATTCTGTTGGACTCCACAGAGAACTACTTTGCCAACCTGCGGCCAAACGAATCGCGCAATCTCAGCCACCAGACGGACATGTTCCCACACTGTATGGTCACAGCGGACGGTGTCCGAATTTTGGCCGAAAACTGCGCAGTAGAGGCGGATACAGGCTTCACCAAACGCTACTTCTCCCACCCTCGCTACTTTAACTGCTGGACTCTGGAGACAGCTGCCAACCAATCGACCAAAGAAACTGTGCGGCTGACGTTGCTCATAAAATTGGTGCCTTCAATACAGATCGACGAAGCCAAGAGCAATTTCATTATGGACACTTTCTCACGCGGCGAGGGCGTGAAGTTAGTCGTGCACGAAAGCGGCACATATCCGGAAATAGATAAGCATGGAATAAACGTGCAGCCGGGCCGCATGAATGAACTCTCCTTCCAGACAATAAAGTGGGTGCGACTACAAACGCCCATCGCGCCGTGTGTGGAGCACCCGGAACCAATTTTTGACATGGGCAGCAAGTACACCTATCGACTGACTCAGTGCCTCGACTCCATCCTCCAAAA